TTTAAAATTACTTAAAAAAGACTGCAGTCAGTTCTGGGACCCTGTCTTTATTCCGGAATGAACCACGCCCGTCACGTGGCAGACAGGCAGTGCCACCATCTCTCGTGTCACATTTAGTCCATACCCGGTGTAGCAGCCACCCTGGAGGCTTCAAGTGAGTCCTCTGTGGAAGATTATGTGGAGGCTCTTTTTAAATGCTACTATTAAGAAAATCAAATGTAATGGGAAGAGAGAAGCTTTTCCCAGTGCAAGCCGGCTCCAAGTTTATATTTCCGTAATCTGTTTTATATGCTCCTGCAGGAAATGAAACCAAAATTGTCCTTTCTGACATGTGCATGTGGCGGGTGGGAGGGGCTGAGCGAAGGGAGACGCAGAGCTAGAGGAAACAATTGCTCTGGTTTGTCAGGGATTTACTGTCACTTTATTTGGAGGGAAAAGCCCTCTTCTTCCCAGTGCGTTGAAGGGTTGCAGCCCCCATGGAGAGCTGTGCCCACAGCCACGGGGTGCTCTCGCCCTGCCTCACTGAGAACTGTTACCCAGCTCACCTGTCTGCCTGGTTGACGCCCAAGACAAGGACCAGATATCCTGCATTAGCAGGTCTGTGTTTCCACTCACCTCCTGTCCCCCTGGAGAGACACAACCTTCGCACACATACAGAAGACGGTCACAGCCAGGCTTTGCACATTACTGAATCCTACTTCTTTCTTTCCTTTCTCTCCCGTTCTCTTCTGCTCCCCCCATCACTCATAAAATGATCATGTCTGCTTGTTAATTGTATCTATATTTAGTTTCACCTTCTAGACGAATGATGTCGATGTTTTTTCAGTTTCTTCAAATTGGTCCTCTGCCCTAGCTCTACCCTCTGGGTCCTCTCTGCTTCTAGCCACCCCCATGGATAAAATCTTCTAATCCTAGTGTCTCAAATCTTATACATAATGCTCAGGGGTCGCCCCTTGCTCTCGCCTTTGCTTCCAAGGCTGTGTTCACCACCAAATAAGAGAACACAGAGCACCATCAAGAGCATCTTGACTAGGAAGACCCTGCGATCCCTCTGGGTGTCTCAGAAGCCACATCTAGGTATAGGGGAGACTCGGGTCCCTCTGCTATAGGAGGCTGCACAGTGCTGTCATGGAGGGAGCCCCAGGTTGAGTCCTGAAGAGTAAGCGCTCACCCTGTGCCCACCTCTCAGGCCGTACCTTGAGGACTTTGGACCCTGTGGTCCTCTGTGGCCCCTCCGTAAGGAAGCAGGCATGAAGGTGTGGGAGTGAGGCCTGGGGACAGCCACACAGCTTCCCCTTTCTGCCTGTGGCTCTGTAATTCCAGAAGGTTCTATAATTCCAGAAGCCTCCTACAGAGGCTCAGGTTCTTATCCTGCTGTAGGACAAGCACTGAGATTCTGGATCAGCCACAATTAACTTCAGCTCTTGAGGAGCAGACCTGATTTCTAAAGCTGGAAGAAAGTGAAACTTACAACTGGAAGAAAGGCCAAAAGGAAGGTTTAAACACATGCAAATCTACCTTACCTTCTTGGAGTGCTAGGAAGATGACCTTTGTCATTTAGCCTCTGAGTCAAATGTCCAGAATATCCTTGAGGTGAGGAACCTGGAGAAATATGGCCAGGAGGGCACAAAAAGCTAATCGGGGCATCCTCCTGAGCAACAGGGCCAGGCCCCAATCCAGCAGAGGGTTTCCATGAGGGACAGGGATGGAGGTGAGCTCTCCCAGGTCAGGCCTGACCTTTTTCTGGACTCCCTGTTAGTGGGGTCCCATGGAGGGTTATTTCCCTTCATGCAAAGACGTTTTTAGGCAGTGCTTCTGGCCCATTCCTCTTCCTCTGCCGGATCCCAGAGACATCTGACCCTCTGCTGAGTAGAAGGGAAGAGAACATCCAAGAGAGCTTTCAAGTAGGAGGATTGCCTGTGAAGGACGTGAAGCAGCTCTCTAATCTCGCGGCCATCCTGCTTTCAAGCAGCTCTCCGCCTCGGACCTTCATGTGTCCAGACCAACTGAGGACCCAGAGTTGTGCCCCAGGGAGGTGGGGGGAGGGGATGAAACAGGATACATTTGTTCCCACATTTGTTTTTGATCTCCTGTTGGGAGGGATCTCATGGAGCCTGGCTGCCGCCGGCAAAGTAGTAGACAGCACCGCACCCCCCCGCCACGATGTGCTTGTGGACACTTGTACACCCACGGGGCCGACCCACTCAAGTTCATGAGAACCTTCAGGGTTTGCCAGCTGGGATTTCACCAGGGGATGGGCCTGCCTGTCTGCAGGTCGCAGCTGGACTCCGTGCATGCTGCTGTCTTCCAGGCTGGAGACCAGAGCCTGAGCAGGCAGGTCTTCCTCTTCCTTTCTCTTCCCTACATCCAGACCCCTCTGCCTGCCTGTTTGCCCTCATTCCAGCCTACAGAGGACTTTTTAAAGAGGCAGGGAAGAGGCCAGGAACACAGGCAAGGAAAACAGTCCTGGGTCTGACCACTTAGCTGCCCTGGGTTTCCTCCCCACAGAATGAAGGGCTCTGAGGATGTGACTATATTGCTCCCCAGCTCCGTAGTCTCTGGCCGCAAAGCTCTTCCTACCCAGGAGTCCCTAGGAATTTAGTTTAAGCAAATATTCCACAAAGGCAAAAAATGTCATAAGTTGGAAGAACTACATCATGTCATTTTTTTTTTTTAAAGATTTTATTTATTTATTTGACAGAGACAGAGACAGCGAGAGCAGGAACACAAGCAGGGGGAGTGGGAGAGGGAGAAGCAGGCTTCCCGCGGAGCAAGGAGCCCGATGTGGGGCTCGATCCCAGGACCCTGGGATCATGACCTGAGCCGAAGGCAGTCGCTTGACCAACTGAGCCACCCAGGCGCCCTACATCATGTCATTTTTTGTTAAAAATCAGAAGTGATCTACATTTCCGAGAGTAGCTTAGTGAATGAATGAGGGTCTGTAAACATGATGTAATTAATTGTACACAACCATTAAAGTGGTAGTTATGCTGGCTATAAATTAATATTGAATAAAAGCTGCTCTTGTTTGTCAAGAGCTACCGTATCAGTCATTCTCAGCCCCAAGGGCACTTTTCATGAATCACACATGTGGGGTCTGGGCGTTGGGGTCTCTTTTGAGGCTCCCTGGTTGATAATAATGTGCCGCCAAGGCTAAGAGCCTGTGTGCCAGGAACTTCTCTGGGTGGGTGCTTAATGACCACCAAGTGATGTCTTCACGCATCTCCTGAAGGCACCTGCACATTCAGTGCCGTGGCTCGGTCCTCCCTTCCCGTTAGCCCCCTAGTGGGCGGTGCAGGATGATACTGTTTGTTTCTGATTTATTGACTGCAAAAATATCATTGCTCTGTAACAAGCCATCCCAAAACTTAGCAGAGTAAAACGACCGCCACTTTATTATGCCCACAGATCTTTTGGGTCAGGAATTCAAACAGATCACAATAGGAATAGCTTGCCTCTTTGCCACAATGTCGGGGGTTTCAGCTGGGAAGACTGGAATCTGGCTTCCTTCTGGCTAGTGGCTGGTCATCTGTGCCCTGTTTTTTTGTTTTGTTTTTTTAAGATTTTATTTTTAAGTCATCTCTACACCCAACATGGGGCTCCCCAAACTCATGATCCTGAGACCAACAGTCGCATGCTCTTCTGACTGAGCTGGCTGGCCAGGGGCCCCTGGATGCTTCTTTACACACAACTCTGGTGTGTAGGCCAGGATGACTTGGAAGATGGACTCAGGGAGGACTGTCCACCAGAGCCCCACACATGGCCTCTCCGTGGGCTTGGGCTTCTCACAGCATGGAGACTCACAGCTCCAGGAGCAAACATGCTCTTGAACAAGGCCTTTTTAAAATAGCGTTGGAAGTCAATAGCATTCCTTATATTGTTCTCTTTTTATTGAAGTGGTCACAGGCCCACCCAGATTTCAGAGATATTATGGAGGCAGAACTGATAAGACTTACTGATGGACAACTAAACATGGAGAGTGAAGGAAGCGACTGTCAAAATGCTGATGCTTAATGTCCTAGGACATGAAAAGAATACACAAAAATATACACATCAAAATCAGCACAAAAAGATGAGAAGTAAATGCATCATGCAAAAATGAAATGTTATTTTAAGTCTGGTGGCAGCATGGTATTTCATCTTTAATATTACTTAATCATTCTTAGTAGCTCTTCTTAAACCTAAGTACCCACTGAACCTCTTCACCGACAACCCCTGAAGATCATTGCTGGAAACCACACCCCAGCGGGATTCCCCCAGTGGGAACCTCTTCACCAACAACCCCTGAAGATCACTGCTGGAAACCACCCCCCAGCGGGATTCCAGTCGTGAGCACACTCTCCAAACATCACATTAAAAATTCACACTGTCCCTTACTGTGTGGCTTGGGGAGCCACAGTGCTGCTCTCGCTATGTACTGTGGGGTTCACCGTACTAGGATCATGGGACAAAGATGAGTGGGCAGGGGTTCTACTTTGGGATCAAGATGTTGCCGGGTAGACTGAGCACCGCCCCCAGACCCTGAGACCTCCACCCAGCCCATCCCCAGGGTGTTGCCAAAGGCTCTTGGTCTCATTGCAAGAAAGAATTCAAGGACACACCAAACAATGGTTGAGTGGTGCAAATAGGTAAGTTTATTAAAGTGAGTGTACACTCGCAAGATGTGAGCTCAGGCCAGCTCAAGGGAGAGCTGCTTGCCCTGAGGTTTGGGTCTCTATCTTATTGACAGCTGTTAACTCGAGGAGGGACTTTCTTGGGAGCAGTGTTTCTTGACTTTTCTCCATTACTAGGTCAGGGTTTCCAGTCTTCTTTGTCTTGGGCCTGTCTGCTTTGATCCAGCTTCTTGTGGCTCTGTTTTGGACTGTTGCCAGGATAGGTCTCTAACCAACCCCCCCAGCCCCCATAGCTGCCCATGACTCCCCCTTTACGGGCCTCCAGGCATCCTGTTAAAACCTAACTGCCTACTCTAACATAATCCATCTTCTTTCTTTTTCCTTTAGGCTTTTGATATTATGAGAGTGACCCACGGCAGAGAGCACAGCCTGATTGAAGATTTGATCCTACTTTTAGAAGAATGTGATGCCAACATAAGAGCATCCTAAGGGGTGCAGTCAGAGGGAAGGACGGCTTCTACCCTTGTTGAATGTCATATAGAGGTCACACACTCTACACTGTGTGAGCCTCCCTACTGGGAATGTGATTCTCTGGTCATGTAGGTAAACAAAGGCAGACATACAGTGTGCAAACCACAAGAATCATTCGTTGTAGAGAAGCACAATTATAAGAAATATAAAAAATTTGGTTGAAAAATGCCATCTGGTAATCGTTTGCTTCCTCATTGGTTGACTTCAGTGTTTAAGATCTCAACATTCTCAACATGAAGGATAGAAAGTTCTATTAAAAGCATGGTAGAATAAGTTGTAACTTTCTCCTTGGCTATCTGTGGGGATAATTGAATTAAAAATCAGTGTTTTCACAAGCAAAAGCTTATTGTCTATTTTGTCAAGAAAGCAGAGTTTCAGATGTTTTCTTTACTAGTTGTGGTAAGTGACATGTACATCCCTTATTTACTCCCGAATACATCTCTAATACAAAAAGTGGTGTCCTGAATCCTAGAAAGAAGTCATTTTAGGTGTTACTAGAAAAGCATAGGAAGTCTTGGGCGCCTGGGTGGCTCAGTTGGTTAAGCGACTGCCTTCGGCTCAGGTCATGATCCTGGAGTCCCAAGATTGAGTCCCGCATCGGGCTCCCTGTTCAGCAGGGAGTCTGCTTCTCCCTCTCCCACTCCCCATTTGTGTTCCCTCTCTCGCTGTGTCTTTCTCTGTCAAATAAATAAATAAAATCTTTAAAAAAAAAAAAAGAAAAGAAAAGCATAGGAAGTCTTAATGGAAAAGAAAAAACGTTTTCTCAAACGTCTTGCGGCTCCTCTGCGCGTTTTATACCATTTTGTACATGTCATGCTTTTTCTTTCCTTGGAGTTTTTTTCCTGTAATTCCCTATATCTGTGGCTTGACCGTGTGACGTGCACACCCCGAAGCTCCATTATCCTGCATCCCAGCTCAAAACAGATATTTTTGTTTCTTCTTCCTCTCTATCTACCCACTTTTCCACCTTTCTGCGTTATTCAAATTCAGAGAAACTTTTCCTCTGGGGGAAGAAAAAGGAGGTGATTTCTTCTATGGCGCCGTGACCCTGTGAGCAGTTTCGTCCCTCCTGCTTAGATGGGCTCAGGCAGTAATTACGGTAATGAGGGAGGCTCCAGTCACCCCCACCTTATTTTACAAGCAAGGAAAGGAGGTACTTAACTGGGGATGGTGTCCTGTTCCCCAGGCCCCGGGATCCGCCCCGCCCTCACAGAAGGAGCCCCGTGGCCACGTGGGGCGCAGGCCACTGTCAGAATGACACACGGGTGCCTGCTCAGGCCAGAAGGAACCAGCCTTGCTTGGCGGCAGAGAAGGCTGACCGCCGGAAGCTGGAGTCGATGTGCCAAATGCCTGGTGATCACTTTGATCGTGGAAATGTGCACAGTGTCCGGCACACGGGTGCATTCTGCAGGCTTTCTGTCGGCTTCTGCTGGCCCAGGCGTGGCTGACCGTGGCCGGGTACACTCATTGCCTGCAGTTGCCGGTGGGTCAGCTGGGGAAAGGAGGGTGACAGGGTCATGCAGCTCACTGGGTTGGCCCAGCCTCGTTCATGTGGCAGCAGGGTTCCAGGAAGAGGAAGTAGATGAGCGCTTCCCTGTCGGCTGGCATTGCATTTGCTGATATCCCATGGGACAAAGCCAAGCACAAGGCCAGCCCGGAATGGAGGGTAGGTAGAGCCTCCTCGAAGTCATCCTATTGCATGGCATGGGGTTGTGGAGAGGAAGATAGTGTGACCATCAAGGTGATCCACATAGCAGTCCCGTGTTGGTGTTCCAGAACATTCAGTGAATTGGATGAAATTCATAGACCTTCTTTCTAGAAAACCATATCCACCCGAACAATTTGCTCTTAGGATCAGGGACCCTTGAACTCCCCGTTGTCCGTCAGTGGACTCCCCAGAGTCCTTCGTCTAATGAGAAATAGACTTGCTACCTTTCAGAATCACTTACGGGAATTACACATTTTAAATTCATTAGGGAAAGAGAAAAGCCGTAACAGGAGGCAGGGGTAGTCACTCACAGGCCAAATGAGCAGGGTTCACCACTAGAACCCTGTGTTGGCCAATTTTCGGAGTGAGATTTATCAGCCAGTGATGATCCTGGATAAAGCAATTTGCCCTTCTGCCTCCTAGAGAAAGCGTGACAGGCTTTTAAATCCCTCTCCGCTCCCTTCCCGTTGTGTGGGAGAAGGTTCCCTTAGGAGTGAGGGGCTCGGCTTGCATCGGCTTCTAATAGAAAGCAAACGTTCAAGCAATGGTAAACATTTACCCAGCATCTTTACCACAAAATAATTTGGGGCAAGAGGGGAGGGGATGGGGAGCGTGGTGTAAAATCCGTGTCACCAACGGCTGACGACTTATGGCCACCCCAGCCGCCATGACTGTGATTTCATTAATCCACAGTCATTGTAGCGGCAGGCTTTTTGCACATCAGTAACTTGACGCCATTAGTTGCTCCTCTGGGATGAGAACACATTTAAGGTGAAAATGAACACACTGGGCATAATTTATAGCCAGGCCGCATGAATGCCAAGCGTGCAGGGAGGAAGGCTGCCTGGGAAGCCAGCTCGCTATGGGGGCTCCGGGCTGGCGCCATCCAGCCAGGCCAGAATGCTGGGCAGAGAGGGTGGCTGGCGCCCCATGAGGCGCCCCTGTCCAGCTTCACTGCAGGATGACAGAGAAGGGCATCCATGGGAGCCCGCCCCGGAGTCAGGTCTTGGGAATTCTCTTCTGGCCCAGTCAGGAGATGATGTCACGCTCAGTCAGAGGAGCCCAAGGGGACGCCCCAGTGAGAAGATTCTGGGCATTATCTTTGGAGCATCATAAAATCCTCTGACAAGCAATCATCGGCAGCGGCTTCAGCAACACACTGGAGCCCTCCTTTTACCTGAGGTCTGTAAGAGATTGGACTGGTGGAGAAGGGCCAGCAACACCCGCCCCCCACCCCCCCGGCGTGGGACGTTCCCTTAACCTTTCAAGGTTTGGATGCATCAAAAATCTAAGGTCTCACAATCAACCTAGTCAAAGCCAATTCAGAACAGGGGAGACCAGTTCTCTGCCCAGCATATTCAGCTCCGCACTACCATCATCCTCCCGGCTCTTCAGCACAGAAACTCAGTCACCGACTCTCTCCTCTGACAAAGGAATAAGTTCTGTCTATCCGTCCTCCAAAGTGCTTTTTTCATTTCGGCCATTTCTATTCTTACCTATTCCCAGGCTCTTTGCAGGCCCCAACACGTCGTTCCTCAGCCCCCTGCAAAGACCTCCTCCATCTCACCCCTCCTTTCTCTGTCCTCCATCAGAGCTGCCAGAGGCACCTTCCAGAAATACCCGTTTCCTCATCTCTTACAACCCCCTCTGCTCAAAAGCTTGCACTGGCTCCCCATTGCCACTAGACTCAGTCAAGTCTTCAGACTGGCATTCGTGGTCCTAGACCACTGATTCATGGCCCCAAACCCCTGAATCTTAAACTTCCTGGTCCCCCCCCCATGCACCTACCACTCTAGCTGGATCTGTACCTGCCCCTGACCCCCCACCCCACTTCAGTCTCCTGAATTTGTCCTCTTCTTGGACAGGTCCTTGTTTGTTGATACTGACCTAATCCTCTTCTCCATCTGTCTCTTACCAATTTGCAAAGACCTAGCCTGAGCCTCCATCCTCCTGTTTCTTTCCTCCTTTTTAATTGAAATATGGTCTAGTCTGTAACCATAATTCTTCTATGTGATGCTCAAGTCCTGTCAGCTTTGGCTATTGGGATTTTCTTCAGGTTAAATGTCTTGTGTGTTCCTATCATTTTGGAAACACTTTTTTACTCCAAGGTACAGTGAGATGTTTCAGGCTCACTTTATACTTTTCCACTCTAGACTTGGAACCAGCTATTCTTCAAGGAACCCTGGGCTTTTTAGTAAGGAATGGTATTCAGGAACCCTAATCCCCACACTATGTTTGTTTATTGCTACTGGAGTGATGGTTCTTTCTAGACCTTTTAAAAATCATGAGTTCACAGTGAACCTGTCAATTAAAATCCAGCACCCGGGGTGGTTCTTCATTTCCCTCCTTCATATTTGTACCTCTCTCATACACACAAAATAGTTTTGAAATTACTACACTACAACCACTACCAACAGCAAACCTATGAAGTAAAATTTTTTAAAGTTTTTTCTAAGGTTTTATGCCCTTAGGCAAAAAATTGTATGTCACAACACTACGTTTAAAAGTTTAATTATTCTTTTCAGTGTGGATATCAATTTGATATCCAATTAGATTTTTTCTATTCAACTTTAAGGATTCCCCCATTACTGCTTTATGTTGGTATGTAAAAATCAATATAAACACATAATATATATTAACATAAATTTTTCAATTACAAATGATGCCATAGAGGTGTATCTTTAGGGTAATTTCCCAGAAGTGGAATCACCAAGTCAAGGGTAAATGCGTATGTAATTTTATTAGGTATTGTCAAATTTACCTTGAGAGGGACTGCACGACGATACCTGCTTCCTCTCAGTCTTGCCACCAAAGTGGGTTTTTCAGCTTTTGCATTTTTTGTTAAGCTGATGCGTATCTCAGTGTACTTTTAATTTTCTTATTGGTGAAGTTCTATGTCTTCAAACATTTAAAAGCTTTTTGTCTAATTTTTTTTTTGTGAACTATATTTACAGGTCTTTGTCATTTTTCTATCCAATTTTTTGATCTTTTTTTCCTTATCTTTAGTTGCCTCTATGTTAGGAAGATTTCTCCTTTATCTCTAACATTTAATCTCTCAGTTTGTCACTCGTTTTTTGACTTTGCTTTAATATTTTGCCCTGAGTTCCTTTGAATAGCATTTTCCAAAAACACTCCATAAGAAATCTACTCCAGGATAAACCAGGGTTCTATTGTAAAGTTACAATAGTACCACCAAACTTCCCAGATGGTCCTTGATTCTTTTTTTATTATTATTTATTTAAATTCAATTAGTCAACATATAGTACATCATTAGTTTCTGAGGTAGTGTTCGATGAATCCTTAGTTGTGTATAATATCACGTGATGTGATGAGCACTGGATGGTCCTTGATTCTTAGCTGTTCCTGAGTTGAGTGGATATTTTGATTGATTGATTGATTGATTGATTTTAAAGATTTTATTTATTTATTTGACAGAGAGACAGTGAGAGAGGGAACACAAGCAGGGGGAGAGGGAGAGGGAGAAGCAGAATTCCCACGGAGCAGGGAGCCCGATGCGGGGCTCCATCCCAGGACCCTGGGATCATGACCTGAGCCAAAGGCAGATGCTTAATGACTGAGCCACCCAGGTGCCCCGAGTGGATACTTTTAAAAAAACATTTTTCTACTGCCCATTCTATGATCTTCCTGTCTTCAGCCAGCACCTGCCTACTCGAGGTTCTTTACCTGGTGGAACGATTCAGTTTACCATTCCTGAGCTGTCTGGATACTTGGTGGTCTTGCCTCTTTGGGGTTGTCTCAATGTTCCATCAAACTAATTTTCATGTTAAAGCAGCCCCTGGTTCAGATGTGGTCCTCCTTCACCCTGCTGTATGATAGCGATTTGATACTGGGATTCAGTCCATCCAACCTGTTTGCCTGTTGATTCAGAGGCATGATGAGCCCCAGATGGCCATAAGGCTGTGTCAGTTTCCACAATGACGGAGCCATTGTTGTATTCCCTGGAGGAA